ATTTTGGTGTTTGGATTTTTAGGGGAGGTGTGTACATTAAGATTACGCTAAAGGGAGGTGTGATGGCAAAACATTTAAGAACTCTTGGTGTACAAATTTATGCTGCTAACTTAAGAACTGCCACACATTCACTTGTATATGCCTATCAATCAACACTTTTGGTGACAGTTGTTTCCACACACAGTTGAGGAAATAGGTGCTTCAGTGTCCCATGCCTCCTGTGAATCTACTTCTGACTGGCTGTCCTCCATTGCTGGCACCTCTAGAAGAGGGCATGCTGGGAAGCCAAGAGGCTGGATAAGGTCCGTGTAGTCTTAAATTTGTGTATAACAAACAAATGTGCAAGATAAAACAGATGCGAGACAACTACACCAGAATGACATTATTTGTCTCCTGTGTATGCTGTTGGTGGTGTTTTTTTCTTAAGAGCTACATGATAAGCAACAATTCAGCAGGTAGCATTTTCCCAATTGCTAAGGCCCTCTTTTCTTTTGGAACTCTCAATCTTGTTTGCGTGTGCAGTTTTGCTCAGTGGGAAGAAAAGATGGAAGGGAAACAAATACCAGATTCCGGCTGTGAGACTTGCACAAATGAGGCTGTACCAGCCACCCGTTATATACAATTAGATGGACATTGTCTTGTGGAAACATGTACTCTCAACTTAATCTTTCAGAAAATTCCAGGTGATCATGCTGCCAGAATCTCATGAGATTAAGTCATTTTGGTTAGGGCTATCATATATTCTTCTTGTGCTTATCTTTCTGTTGTGATTGTTCACTTTTCTATGTGATTCTGCTTCATGGGGGAAGCCTTTGAGAAGAGTTCAGCTAATCAGTTATGTTAAATTAAACATTAAATTTATTTGATACATCTGTCCCATGCACACGGTTGTTTCTCTTTGAATTTGTAAAGTCCAACATTCTATTTTTTACAGTATTAGGAACTATCAAAGCTCACCAGTAAGACTTAGACATAATCAATTTAATAAGTGGATAGCAGGACACTGTTAAAGATCTTTACGTTACTGAGACATTGCGCCGTCCCTTCCCTTTACTAATTTAAAGCCTTATTCCTGTGTGCTAGAAAGGGAAAATGAATTCTTAAAAAATGCCAGTGCATATGTAACAGGACTAAACCAGGGAATTTCAAGAATATATTTTTTGTTGTCTCCTAAAAACAAAATATTACAAATCCAAAATCAAAGCCATTTTGAACAGTTTTCAGTTCTTCTTCTCACAAATGATTGCCTGAAAGTTGGAAAAGTAGATTAGTTGAATCCAGATGTTTTTCGTTCCATGAATTTTCTCTTACTCTACATCTAGTCGTGGTAATACAGGAAGAATAAGATTTCCAAAGGCTGAGTCTTGTGTTATAAAATATCCTGAAGAATGTGCGTGAGCATGCTGGAAGAGGAATAGATACACCTGTTTGAAAATTATACAAGTAAAGCAAATACAACATTGCATCCCCACTGCTTTCCTAGCTAAAGGAGCCCACTAAGCAACACTTTCAAAATTATTCAGCTGTAAATTTCAGTAACAGAAGCTTTCACACACACTTTTATCGCTTTGATCTAACAGGGAATAGAATTCCAGCCAAAACCTAGTAAAAGCCAGAATCGGTAATTCAAATCTGACAGCAGCATTTCCCTCAATGGCCATTTTCCCACTTGCTAATGAAATTCTTTAGGAGTTTTTTGAGCTGAGTCAGCCTCCCAAAGTGGCCTGAATTGCAGCAGCTAAACATCTGCACATCTAAAATGAAAGACACAGAATAAGCAGACATAATTCCTACTCTTTATCACATCACCAAAATCTATCAGAGCATTAATGTTGTATTTGAGCAGTTTCTAAGCTTTTGTGGGGCCCATGAACTTTTATTTCTAAAAGTAATTCAATTCAGTTGTGCCTGTCCATCAGCGGAACACACATCGCTGGTGGGTCTGATTTCTCTCCTTCCTGCATCTTTCCTTATCTTCCTCTCTGAAATCTGCTCTGGAAGATTAAGAAACTTTCTGCAGCAGTCCTGTGGTGCACATAGTAGGGCTGCAAGAGAGAGAAGGCGAATTTTTGGTTCACATGCAGAAATCCATCACGCAATGTTGGATGTAGCCCACACTTTCCAAGGCACAGGATGAAAAGAGTTAGATATTATCTTCAGCTCATGTGGATTCTGGTGCAACTGTTTTGGCCTGTTTGTATCTTCTGGATGTGCACAAGCATGTCACAACACCTGAGCTGAGTACTGTTCCCATGGGTTGGAGCACTGGCAAAGGACATCACCTAACACATTGTGCACAAGTACAGATACAAGCTTAGAATCCTAAAAATTTTAGCTTTCTATTTTTAAAAAGCTGATTACACAATAGTTTCAGAAAAACTGAAACAGGAATTGTAATAAATGGCTGAAAGTTGGTTGGGTGCAGCAGACTGAAAAGTAAACATGAAGCTCAGAAGATTGGGGTTAACATCCCACATTGGTTATGGGATTTGTTAGACAGCTTCAAGTAACCCCCAACGGAAAAAGATTGACTATCATTAGCAGAAATGTAGGACTATTTTTATTTCCTAAATTCTCTCTATCCTCCACCACCTTCCAAACTTTGTGCATCTCACTCCCTGCAAGCTTTTACCCTGCTACATGAAATTACTGGATGTTTGGGTCCAGGCAGAGATGGGCATATCAAAGTCACAATACATATGGCAGAACTAGTATTTCCCTTGTTCAGCTTTCAATTTTCCCCAAACCTCCTCCCTTCTGCCTCATTTTCAAGTGCTTTCAAATTTCTCAGCTTGCCTTATTGTTGCAAGATGGTGAAGGGCTCTGAGTTCAATTCTGCATTCTGAGGGACTGCCTCTCTCCCATCACTTCTGACCATCCCATGAAGATCTGACAGAGCAGGGACGCTCTGTGTCCTCTCTTAAGCAACATCATCAAATGGGACCTAGAAAGTGGGTCTTCTTGGTCGCAGCCCCTGCCCTTTGGAATAGCATCTCCCCAGAGGTTCAGTCCATCCCAACCCTGCATATTTTTAGAGGATCTTTAAAAACTTGGCTTTTCTCCCAAGCTCTGGGATAGTTCGATGGTATGCCCAACAGTGTATAGTATGGATTGATTGTGGTATGTTATTTCTTCTGTTATCTTTAGGGTATTACCTGCTTTTTTCGGTATTGTAAGTTACACCGCCCAGAGTCTATGCTGAATCTGGCGCCTTTATAAATCTGAATTAATCCTGTAACTCATCTCTTGACTACCCTGCAGCTTCCTGGCTGTCAAGGCTTTCTGGCTGGAAAGGGCCCCCAAGAGAAGAGTCCTCTTCTGGTATCTTCCCAACTCATTTAATATGAGCATACAACAAAAACAGCCACTTCAGCTCACAGAGCCTTCAGTTACTGTGTAACTAAGATAAATTCAAGCACCCTATGCCTGCCTCATGAGATCTACCCTTTTCCCCCTTCCCTTCTCTTTTAAAAGCAAGAAGCATCCTTAGGAACCACTTTTTCTAAGGTATCAAAACCACCAGCCTCTGTGAAAGTGCAGCCTGGCCCCCTTGGCTCTGGACTGACCAGGAGAACGCACCTGTAAAGCAGCCTTCTGCTGCGCTGCTATGTGCTGCTGCTCTGCGTGATCCCGAAAATCCTTGTTAAGGGAGGATCTAGCCAAAGAGATGCTGCAAATAACAGAGGGAGGAAAACAGCCAGGTCATACCAAGGCAGTGGAGATGATGAGGAGCACAGGATCAGTGCAAATGTTTGTGGTGGTTAGGATGGGTATCCTGGAGTCAAAACGTTCACGGTTGCTTCTCCTTTAAAAAAGGTTTAATAATGTGCCCAACAGCATGTGCTCAAACGGGATGATCAGTTCTGCTCTGGAAGTTGCACTCCAATAATGGCATGTAAGATCAAACATAAGGAAAAACCATGCCCGGGTGTAAACCAAAAGCAAGTCAGCTGGAAGACATGCAGGATCCTAGCCCCCTCCTTCCCCCCCTCCCCCAGCATATTTTTCCTTTCTCACAGTGCCACCCAGTGACTTGCCTAAGTGAGAACTGAATAAAACAACAGCACTAACCAGGGGTCCATCGTCTTCATGATGGGGAGTTCATATGTTTGGTAGAGTGGCTACAGAACTCGTATGCAGGAAAAGAGTCTCCCATTGAGACTGAGCCCCAGCAAGGCCTCTTTGTAGCCAGCATGTTGATAGGTTACAGAACAGAAAAATGTGACTATACTAACAATGCTATTAATTAAATTTGAGTTTAAACATGCCAAAGAGGAAAATAAGTTATTTAAATGTTTTTGTTTTCCTTCTGATCCAAGCCCCACTTAATACTATCAAGATAAAATTCAATAGCCAGGAGAGGGAGCAAAGAAAACACCCCAAAGACTCTATCATTTTTATCAAAGACTCTACCATTTTCGTGGGAAAAGGTGCAGAGAAAAATGACTACTTATATGTTCTCTATGGGAGCCATAAACAAGAAAAGTACAATCCAAGTGACTGGATTTGCTTAGGACAGCTAACAGAGTAATCAGATTGCCAGCTAACCCCCCTGCTCCACTTACTCTGAAAACTGGATACCTAACACGGATTTTTTAAAAAATAAAAAGCTTTCAATGATGAGCTATTTTTGTGACTAGTCCTCTGAGAAATAAAATTTATTTGGGTCAAAACTCAAAAGTTCAGAAATCCAATCAGATGCAATTTCCTATGCTGCATCAAGACATAAAACAAGTAACACAAGAAAGAGAATGAATAGTTTTTTTTAATCTGTTTTCTTTTTTTAAAGTAAATATTTCAAAAGCATAGCTTCATCTTTTTCTACTTCGTAAGAACATGGTTCCCCATTTGGAATTTTTCCCTATGAAAAGCGCTGGACAAAAACACATACAATATAGCTATATGGTTCTGATAGGTTCTAGATTGATGGTATTGAGGGTCTCTTATTAGAGTTTGATAAAACTGGTGCTCCAAGCCCTCTCAGTTTTCATTTACATTGTCCTGTCTGATGTAATGTCAGGAGAAAGGGGAACCATTAAAAAAAAGATATCTCAGTCCTAGGAAAGTAGAAAGCAAAAGAGAGAGAAACTCAAGACAGCTCCTCCTTGATTGGGTTAGGTACAAGTTAAAGGAGGGGGCTTTGACAGGCTTCCAAAACTTTGTTACACTACCCTAACCTCATTAACTTCCAAAACTCCTAGCAACTCCTGTTTCCTGACTACTCCCAAGTAGATCCTGCCTACTTTTCAATCTTGGGAAAATTTGCGTATAAAATACTTAAGTAAACATTTTTCAGTCTCGGGATTGAAAAGATGTACTTAAATATTTTATATGCAAATTTTCTGCCACAAAATGCGTCTGTATTATTGTACCTTCGTTACTATTTAGGGCTGAATTTAATGCATATGTTATCTCTGATAATATTAGAAAGGTGAAAGTGTGTGTTTTGTATATTGTGTATGTAAATATCTTTATATGTATATATGTGAGTATGTGTGTGTGTGCAAATGTAAAAAGAGAATTTTCAAAGTGTTTCAATATTTTCCCCCTCCATTGGAAAGGACAAAGATGAAAGTTGGAATGCATAAGCCCAGGGTACATTTAAAGGCTTGCTACAAACAGTCTGCCCCCAATTCTTACAGTGCAGGGGGGCCATTAATTGTCCCTATTTCCTGCCATGATCAGAACACATGATCATGTGGTCCCGGAGACAGGCTTTTGAGCATAACTTACCTGGCTCCAGGGTGATTTGTGGAAGACTGGTTTTGCATCAGCAGCTTTCTCTTCTCCTTGTCTAGCTCAGCCAAGATTGCAACCCTGTTTTTATTCTGAAAGCCTGGAAAAATTAGAGGAATGTAAATGTCAGAGTGGTGTCTTCTTTCTTTTAACCACTCAGTAACCTCACTGGCTGAAAGCTTCTCCAAAATGACCTTTCAGGAAGAAAAATTAACATACTCATCTTGAAAGCAAACATGCACCATCTTTGATGGTTATTTATTACTTCCCCTTTCCCCTCTCCTTCCTTACAGCATTAAATAGCTTCCTAACAAAACAAAACATACAGCATTGTCAAAAGAAGCTTGTTATCTTGAATTTGGCTGCTCTTAGAAGCCATTTTTGGAATTATATCTGCACTACTGCATACTTTCCTCTGCTGTGAACACCTGAGCACATTGTTTCTCAGCAGTGCAACTCGAGAGGGAGACTACACCTTTTATAATAATTTAATTGTGCTTTTTGGAATTGCAATTAACAAGCCAATTCTCTTTCATTTTCTAGGGACATATTCTTCCATAATGTTCAGTAATAATTAAGGAAAATTCATTTTACTCATTAAAGTTCTTTTGAATTATTAAAATATGGTATTTTACTTGCCTTTAATAATTACAGTGGCATAGAGAGAAGAATGTAATACAGAGTGATTTATGAATAGGGAGTCCTTGGAGAAATCCATACTTATAGACTAATGGATGCCCTTTGGTTTAAGGCTTTGCTTTAGGACCAGTGATTTAAATGATAAATAAAACTGTGTCTGAAAACTTTTCCCAAGAGAACTATCTCTTTGTGAAAACCAATTTGAAAACTCTGCAATAGGGTCAGATAATTTAATGAGTCAATTTTAAAGGACATTATAAAAAACATTTTGAAAAAAAATGTGTGCTATAATTTTGACGTGGCAAAAACTGCCTATAAATCACTCCAGTAAAAAAAACTCTATGTATAATATATTCAATGCATATGAAAGAAAATTAACTTCACAAAATTCATGACACGGAAAATGAAAGGTAATAGTCGATTTGTGTGTTCAGAAAATTTGTAAGAAAATAGCTCTATGACTGTAGGATTTTCTTATCAAATTAAATATCATTTTCCTTTCAACTTACCAGAGCAGAAGGAACATTGTCTTTATAATAGGGTAAGTAAGTAAACATTTGTGATTTGGGGGTTGTGGGATGGAGGGTTATATTATTCCAGCAATCTAAGGGTGCAGGGTGATGATGTCATACAAGTATGTAGAACTAATTGTTCAGAATTTGTTTTAGTCAATTATTTTTTTCTGGAGTTGTGTGGAAAGTAAGGCTTAGGACACCTTTTTTTAAGGCTCCTATTTTCTGATTTCAGAAAATCAGAAAGTTTTTGCACAACTCCATCTGGTGTGCCAGCCCTTCAGCCCTTCACTCATGCCCTAGGTACCTCATGGCTTGACTACTGCAACATGCTGTACGTGAGGTTGCCCGTGAAGACCACTCAGAAGTTTCAAGTGGTCCAGAATGCACAGGTGCGGGCAGTGATGGGCGTGCTCCAATGGCATAGGGGCCAGTTATTTGACAGACTATCTATCTCCAATGGTGCCTACCCAACTGATAGGAACTGACAGGGGTCCTGTCAATTAAACCGTGACATCTTTTGGAACCCAGGAAGCATGTATTTCTTGTTGCAGCGCCTGGCCTCTGGGATGAAGTTCCTCCTGCAATCTGGGTAGCTCCTACCCTGATGGTGTTCTGAAGGACCTTAAAGACCTGGGTGTTCTCCCAGATCCTAGGCTAAGATGTTGGGATCTCTTCTTGAATATGCCTATATGAATTTTGATGTTGCTGGCCAAATTCGCCATCTTGTTCTCTAACTTTTCTATTTTCTATTGTATTTTTATTCAATCTTGTTTGAGCCACCCAAAGTCGGCCTGGAGTCTAAATCAAATCAAATCATATAATCAATAAAATCATGTACCAATTTTTTGTATACTGTAAGTAGGAGTGATCTTAGGGATCTCAAAAAAAGGGAGTCCAGGTAACTCCTACTGTTTGCCCATTGCTGTCACAATACATTAATGCTAATTGTATCATTTTGGAATGAAGCTGTTTTTTTTTTTTTAACATTAATCCACATAGAACCTCAGGAAAAAGTAACCTGTTTGCAATAGCCAGAGAAAGAAGTCAAGATTACTCAGAGTTTTTACCTTGTCCAGAAGGGTTTGATGTCATCTTCCTTGTTTCCTCCTTAAATTTTTGAAAAGCAGCTACAATTTGTATTTACACCTAGATCTACAACAGTGGACATAAATTAATATTTGATCATAAAGGCATGCAACTCTATAATTACTAATATGCTATAATACGGCAATCTCCCTTTTTTAGAAAGTTCCCAGTTTTGAAGAATACTTTGAAAAACACAGCTATTCTATAGCATACATATACTGTGCTTTCCTGTTATATTAAGGCATAGTAAATTGCTAACATAAACTTATGGTTTGTTTTCAGATAAGCTCAGTGATTAGTGAAGTACAACCAGGAAAGAATAAACAGATCTGGAAGTAGTAAACTCAGCACACATTTACTCTTAAACAAATCATGGGCAGGAATTTTATAGTTGCATAGCTTGAGGAGACACAAGAAATAAAGAGTTTCTTCCTTGATTTTACAAACTTCAGATGTAATGAAGAAAATCTGAATTTCTTAATGGACTTTGTCCTGAGCAGTCGATTCACTCTTTGTTGAATTAGTTTGGATAATATTTGTACAATTCATGCATGTATAAAGTAATATCCAGTTTTAATAGACATTCCTCCTCCCCTCAAATTGGGCATGTGCTGTATTTGGAATGCATTCACACTATTTACTTTATTCCTGTATTTAAATATCCTGTATTTTTTTTTAATAAAAAAAATTCTGGTAGCTTTGCCACATTTTTCTGAGTTTGTTAATTTCAATCTTTTCACTGATAGTTAACAGCAGTGGGCTGTGAGAATAACCTTGAGAGAAAGAGGAAGAGCCAGAGCCTAGACAACATTCTGATAAGAGAAATCTGAGTCCAAAGCAGGAATGGGGCTGCAGAAAGCCTCTCAAAATTGACCCTCCCTAGTTCTCTGGAACGTAAAGGCAGGGGAATTTGAAGATTCTGTTACTGTAACCTTACGATAAAGATAGTATTAGTATTCTTGATTTTGGTTTCCTGATGTGGACTACCTTGAAGGGCTGACATCAGGCCACTTAGACTCTTTTTTGAGAAAAGATAAAAATAAGTCATGGAACCTGGAGCTCCAAATATCCAGACTTAGTAATTTGTCACCTATTTTTTAAGAAACAAGGAGCCTGGTCAGCTTCATCTATTGGGCCAAATCTGAAGTCACATGAAATGAGTTAATTGCTTTATAGCACACCTCAGGCTTACACTGAAAAAGAGATTGTAAGTTTTCACTTGTAATTAACTGAATTTTAGCATTAAGTCCAAACCTTCATCATTGTTTAACTGAGAGTTCTCAGCAAGGTGGCACAATTTGTTAACACTTGGACCCACTGATTTTCCATTTGGATAGTCCAAGTCTTCATTCCACATTTAATACATTGCTAATGCATCCTATTCTTGAGTTTCATATATTGAATTATTGGTTTCACTTCAAAGATAGCATCTCTTAAAGATAGTAAAATTCCAGATAGCTCTGGCACTGCTACAGCATCTGGACTATATTGTTTTGTCAACACATAACTATATACACTGCCAAGGAGATGCTAAAGGTAAGTCAGAGTCAGAATGCAGTCTCTGTTAAAATAACCACTACAAATCAATTGATTTTTGGGCCAGGCCTTCCCTCTATCTTCAAATTAGGATTATTCCACAATATCAATTTCTCATAGCAAGTTTACAGAATAAGACAAGGCATTTATCAAAGACTCACGATGCCTCAAATTCCAGAAACTAGTTACATTTAAGTGTCTGTATGAAGAAAATTAGATATTAATTTGATTTTTATCCCTGTCTATCTCATGGACTTACGGGGGCTTTCTCTTTTTAAGATAGTCATGAACCAACATTTTTTATTCCAGGATAACTACATGAACTTATATCTTAAACTGGGAAATGAGTAGGTGGCATACAAATTACTGTAAAAAAATAAATGTATTAAAGATTACTTTCCCTTCTAAAAGTAAAAAAGGAAGTTTATTAAATAATACATTCTCTTCAAATCCTACCAGTATTTATTAAAGAGCATACAATTAAATTGCAGTGCAGGCAACTGTATTTAAACTCTATTAATAGCCTTACTTAGGGGACGGCTAAGAAAAGGCTGCATTTAAAAACAAACGTCTTGGAAAGCTACAGGGGCAATAACATCATCAGAAACGATGAGGTGAAACTCCCAGCCCTTTTTACGTGTTTTTGGAGGGCCAGAGAATTGTTTTAGAGCAAGCTAGATATGCTGGGGTCTAACCGAGATGTAACCTTATTCTTTAATTATGTTAAAGTATAACGAACAAAGGCACAGTCCAGAAATGGTGATTTGCTACCAAATCTTCAACAGCCAAAAGTACTCCCAGCATGCTTACAAGGCAACAAAAAAACCCAAAAAGGAACCTTTTCTTTTTCTTTTTTTCCTTCTATCATGCAGGGATTCGATAACTCAGGAAGCCTGCCCAGAAATCCTGTTTGAATACATCTCAGTCAAAGCTGAGAAAGGAAGGGAAGAGCTGGGGAACAGAGAAACTTGCGCACATCCTTTCTTCGAGCTATCTGACGGTCCAGTTTGTTTATTTTTTAGTCAACAAGGGGGCTTGCCATCTTTTGCATAGGCAGAATCCCAGATTTCTCCCAGGGTCCAACATCAATCTGCACGGGATTCCAAAAAGCATCATTTAAGGCAGAGTTCCTCAATCTTGGCGACTTGAAGAGGTGTGGACTTCAACTCCCAGAATTCCCCAGCCAGCCATGAGGAACCCTGATCTAAGGGTCTATTCCTCCGTGGCTGGCGCTTCTTACCCTTGCCAGCCCTCCACCCTCTGCACCCGGGAGCAGAAATGATGGGGCTTCCCTTCCTCCTAGCCGTTGGGCTTTTAAAAAGGCCCAAATAGAGGAGGGGGGGACGATTAAAACAATAAAAAGCCTTATCCCAGTTGAATCAAAATAACTGACGGCTGCCACGCCCACCCTCACCGTTTATGCTGCTGAGCCATCGTCCATCTCTCTCCTTCGCTGTATATTCCCCCCCCCCCCCGCCTGCCCAGATGGACTCTCCCGCCGCCTCCCCGTTTAGAATCTTTCCCTCCGGACCGGATTCCCCAATGGCTGCGCGAGCTACCCGCCTTCTTGTGGCGTCACACGAGCGCGCCGCGTGCCGTCCCTTCCTATTGGTCGCAAGAAGTCTGGCGACTTAAAAATACGTAGCGCGACGGCCGAGGGCGAGCTGTTGAGGGTTTGGTTTTCGGGCGGAGTTGTGGGTTTCCTGGCGGGGAGCGAAGCGAGAGGTTTTGGCCCCTGGAGATGAGGCTGCTTGAGATGAGTTTTCTGAATGGCGTCTCTGGCTTGCGGTCCCAAGCAATCCCGATAGAAATGAGCAACAGTGAAGGTTGAAGAACCTCAAGTGCTACAATCTATGGCAGTGTTTTTCAAACTTGGCAACTTTAAGATATGTGGACTTTAACTCCCAGAATTCCTCAGCCAACATGCTGGCTGAGGAATTCTGGGAGTTGAAGTCCACACCTTTAAAGTTGTTGAGGTTGAGTAACCCTGGTCTACAGTATTAATATTAAGAATTTTGATTTTATAGTACTGTGTTAGCAGTCCTAGCTTTTATCTTTTATAAATTTCAGTGAAATTATTGAAATGGATGCAGTTTTCCTTGTTTGTATGCAATCTCTTTCCATGCAGACATTAGACCACATTAAACTAAGCCAAAATATGAATTTTTTACTTATGATTTAATGTGTTATATGAGCCTTAGCATTTGGATTTGTTTACAAATTATAGTTAAGGAATATATAACTTAATGTGGAGTGTGAAACTGGTCAGTGTATTTTTGGTGAGGAATAGGACTGTCAACCTGCCACTGTTTTACTGATCAGTTTGGATTTAAGACCATTTAAAATAGTGGGATTATATCGGATTAATCTGAAGAATTGGCTTCATCACTAAATTTTAAACTCATTGGAAAGGTCTGTCCTAGATTTCTTCTATTATTTCTAACAATATCTACTATCTGTGTCTATTGCCTGGCAATGGAGATGCCTCAAACTTTATTAAGAATAACTGGCTGGGAACTTGACATGTCTGACAATCACTAGTTTCTATTCTGTTTTTAAGGAATCAGTTTTGAAAAGCAAAACAAAAATGATCTTCATTGCCATAGCATTTTTGAAGGCTATGCAAAAGATAGAAAGTTTAAGTTAGCTTCCTTTGGTGTTCCACTGATGTCTCCTGGCCATTGTGGCTAAATTGAGAGGGGAGGAATTGAACAGACCACTTAATGCATTAAAAATGTTCTTAGTTTGAAAGAAAACAATCAAGAAGAAAAACAGGCAAACTGAAGAACAGTGCTTCTTATTTTTTCTTCTTATTTTTCAGTGATAGAAAAATGAGTGACCCATGGCTAGAAAACAATATGAATATATAATACCTTTGAAGATAAAAATAGAAAGGAAAGGTTCAACCCTTCCCAATCCTTTGCTCTAATATGACTTTTGTTAAAAAAAGAAGGGGGAGCAGGGATCCTGTGCACTTTCAGAGACAAGTTAAGCAGTTTGTGCTTTCTTTCCTATGTCTCTAGACTTGCCATTTATTATTAGTGGTGTTGTTGCTATTATTTTCTCATTTATCAGGTACCCAAACTAAATCTTATGTTGAAAGTGCAGGTTAGGATCACAGTGGCTTTAAAGCAATAACAGCACTAACTTGAGCTGAAAGGACCTCTTATTCAGAGTGTGGGGCTGGCATGGTTCACTTCCTGATGTGAAAGGGGCCTTGGGGAAAAAAAGACTGTTTACCAGTTGGTTTCCTTTCCTTTCTCTGACTGGGTATAACAAAAGAGCTGCTGGCACAGAGATTTTAAAAATCTATTAATCTGATAACAAAGATAGCATCCAGAGGCAGAGAACCAGAGCACCTCTAACGATTGCTGAATGACAGTTCTCAGCATTTCTCACCACTGGCAATACAGGCTGGGGATATTGGGAGTGGTAGTTCAGCAGCTTCTGAAGGGTCCACTTATTTCCAATCCTTGTCCATAGAAGAGCTGTTAAATTTCTTCTGTAATCTTTTTCTGGGAACAGAATCCAAGGCAGACTTCTAATCCATAAAGGTAACATACAGAACTTTACCAGTTGCTGACATTTAAGTCTTTTAACTACGTGACTTGAAATAAGATAGTGGGCTAATGATTAATTGCCCGTTCAACAGTGCCTGTTCAGGGCCCAGCACCTTATTATGTTCTCTCCAAAATTATAGTTTCTTATTAAGATAAGTGGCCTATAATTTACTGATTCCTGAAAGCAAGCCAATCTGTGTATAATTGGCAGGATGATCTTTCTCGTCCTTATTGCAGATAGGAATATTAATACCTTGTAACCAGGGTATATTTCCAGTAAGATGATGGAGGATGGGAGCCACTCAATTCTCCCCTTTGTGGCATGACTAGATTAATATCTTTTAAAATATCTTTTTGCCAAAAGATTTGGATTGGACTTCTGGACTTGGACTTTTTCAGCTTTCGGTTGGTTGGAGCCAGAGGATGGGATTGTGTTTGTTACTGGCCGCATCTTCTGCATTGCTGTGCCCATGAGCTGAGCGTGTCGGAGCTGTTAGGAGCCGGGCAGGTTTGGGAGGTTCTGAGGCTGAAGGAGCAGGCCGGACATTGAAGGGGCAGGTCAGAGTGGGCTGGAGCAAGCGCTGCCATGTCTGTGGACCAGGTGCTGGCCTTAGGAGGTTGGGATTGTGAGCCGGCCATGCTGGGATGTTTGGTTGCTGGTGGAACAAGCTGGAGGATGGGCCAGAGCATGGGCCAGAGGAATGGACTGGAAGATGGACTGCACCTAGGGGCTGGCATGGTTACTATGCTTTTGCTTTTGGGGCTGTGCTGGCCTTAGGAAAGTCTGGAGACCGGGGAATGGCTGAGGACAGACTGGGGTTGCAGTCCTGGCTGCACCAGAATCGTTGCCATGTCGGCTGCTTTTTCGGACCTGGTCTCCCCTGTTGGTGGTGGGCTTGGTGCTGGCCAGAGCCCCCTGACGGAGTTGTGTTTGTTGCATTTTCATCTTTTTGCTGCATCTCCATCTTTTGCTGCCGGCATCTCTCACCCCATGGACTGTATGACCGTGTGGGACTTTCCACCTGAAGAGGCCAACCAAGACTCTGGAGCCTTAGGGTGTTGGTGGTGGCAGATGGAGGGGATAGCAGCAGAGTGGCAGTCTGCTGTGGACCCTTCCCTCTGTGGAGCCTTTCCCTCTGTTATCTCCAAGAGAGGGAAGAGATGATTAATTGTCTCCCAACTCTGTCTGCTGGCAAAGTGCTCCTGCTTTTATGATTCCCCCTGTCAGGGTGAGAGCCGGAGGAGCGGGTTGGGTGGATAGGGCAAATGGGAAGGGAACCCTAATCAGTGGGTGAGAGGGGCTGGGAGGGGCTCCTGTGGGTGCTAGTGTGAGTGTGTTGGTGTATGCTTGTGGATGTGTTTGTGAGGTGAGGTCGGGGGGAGGTGGATGCTGGGTACCCTGATGGTGCTGAGAGCCGATGGATCTGAAGTGCCTCAGGGTGTCTGGCTTCCCCTCCCTGGGATGGATGTAAGTGTACACTATGGGAGGTCCCCAACCTTGAGAATTGGGGTCCTGGAGTAGAAGACAATGCGGCCTCTGGGGGGAAATGGGCGAGCCATAGTTTTATGGCGGGGGGGGGCATGGGGAGATATGGTAGGACATGAGCAGGTAGCTCCCGGGGAATGTGGGACCGATGTTTTATAGCAGTTTTGTGTTCCATTTCCTTGGTCTCAGCCCCTGTACCTGGACAGCAGACCTTCAGAGGCCCTTGCTTCTGGCTGCTGCTCTGAAATGCCAGGTCAGTCTGTAATAAAACCTCCCTCATCTGCAATTTGATTGTGGATGAGAGGGCCAACCTGGCATGTATTACTGAGACCTGGCTGGGCCCGGAAGGAGAAGTGGCTCTTTTGGAGATTTGCCCAGCTGGGTTTCAGGTGTGATACCAGCCGAGAACCTGGGGCAGGGGTGGTGCTGTGGTGATTGTCATCCGAGAATTGCTTATAGCTTTCAGGGGTGCTGCCCCGCAGGTCGCCGGATGCGAGACCCTGTTCATTAAGTTGGGCTCTAGGGATCAGTTGGGATTGTTGCTGTTCTACCAGTCTCCCTGCTGCATATCAACCTCCATTTCCAGGTTGACATTGAAGTTCCCCAGACTTACGATCTTGGGGGACTTTAATCTGCCTTCCCTGGGAGGGGGTTCTGAGGCAGCTCAGGTGTTCATAGCCACCATGATGGCCATGGGCCTATCCCAGGTCATCCAGAGCCCAACATGGGACAGTGGTCACACACTGGATCTGGTGTTTCTGTCAGAGCAGTGGCTATGTGATCTGAAATTGAGGGAGTTTTTGGTGTCCCCCTTGTCATAGTCAAATCACACCCTGATTACAATAGGATTCTCTGGTGCCACTATCCACTGCAGGAGGCTGGACCCATTAAATTTGTCTGCCCCCAGCAACTGATGAACCCGGATGGGTTTCAGAGGGAGCTGGGGCTTGTTCCTGCTAGTCTGCTGCATGGTCCATCTGAAGCCTTTGTTGCTGTTTGGAATAAGGGGGCGGCTGAGGCTTTGGATCTGATTGTGCCCATGCGACCTCTCCTCTCTTGGGGATCCCATCACTCCCCGTGGTTTATGGAGGAGCTGAGGGAGATGAAGTGGGAGAAGAGATGTCTAGAGTATCACTGGCGGTCAACTAAGGACGACCTCAACCCAAAACAGGGCTGTGGGGCAGCAATCTGTGGATGCAATAAGGGTGGAGAAGTACTGCCTCTTCCCTGCCCTTACCGCCACAAGGTAGGCCTTA